TACCTCTGGTGCAAATTACTGACCTCTGTCATCATTTTAGGTGGGGGAACTTGCACAATCGGTGGCTGACTAAATACTTTTTTGCCCCACTGTACATTCATGCCCTTGATTAGTGAATGTAAACTTGTCATTGCTAACCAATGTACTGTGTCTGTTGTAATGTTGTAGTTGGTGGTGTTCACCCTGGCCCCACCATCCAGGCCATCCAGGGAGCATCTCTGCCCTCTCTATCCTCTCAGCCTGCCTCCTTGGTCAGCAGTCCTTTCCCAGCAGAAGATGAGCAGCACAGCCAGCCCATTAGCCAACAAGGCCTGCACTACTTGCATTCTGCTTATAGAGTTGGTGAGTAGTTTATGTTCTCTGATTATATGTTAGTCCAAGTAGTCTGCATTATTAACCAATATGTATTCCTTGTCTTCTGTAAAGGCATGTTGGCATTAGAGATGTTGGGCAGAAGGGCTCACAATGACCATCCCAACAACTTCTCCAGGAGCCCTCCTTATACTGAGGACGTCAAATGGTTGCTGGGACTTGCTGCCAGGCTAGGTGAGACTTTACCAAATAAAGGGACATCTCTGGCTGCACTGACCTGGACACATATTTGCATTCTGTTTGAAATCGGGGAAGTAAGATAATAAAAGAAATACTTGCTACAGAAGCCAATTTTGAAAAAAAAAATACAAAAAAGGAAAGCCTTCAATTATATAGTAATGTTCTAGGTCTTAAGCCATCCATTATTTCTTTGCATTTTGCTGGGAAATGGCAAATAGATGCAACAATGTATTGAAACATTTGGAAAAATAAATGGGAAATGATGTATATGAGAACAGAGATTGTAAAATTATGACCATCTTTATTTTTCAACATAGCCTGAACTCTCTGTGGCGGATGGATGGGAATGATGATCCCATAAGGGATAAGGAAATAAAGAATAGAAAGAGTACAGTTTACATTTAATAAGCAACCAACTTGAATAAAAGTGCCACAGGTGCATAATGGGGGCCTTATACTGTAAGAGAGTGCAAAAATGTTACATATGCAATAATGGGGGGAAAAGACAAAAGTAAAAATGAAGTAAGACTGACACTGTGCAAGAGAGTAGTGCAAACTGTATTACTAAACTATATGAAAAAGAAGAAAGGGTAAAACCGATAACTATGTGTGGACTCTTCTGCCACAGAAAAACAGTTAGTGTACAGTTTTATAGAGAGTGGCAGGAATTTCCTGAAGCGTTCTTTATGGCAGGAAGTGTGAATCGGACTGAGGGAGAAGGAGCTCTGCTGCCTCGACATGTGGAGTGGATTTTGGTGTGATGGGTTCTCCATGATGGAGAGCAGTAAGCTCAGTGACCTCCTGTCCCTCACTGACCAATGATGCTTTCAGCTCTGCGGATTAGTTTGTTCATCCTGCCGGTATCTCTGGCACTGATGCTGTAACCATCCATCCATTCACTCCCGCTTATCCTTTTCAGGGTCGCGGGGGGCGCTGGAGCCTATCCCAGCTGTCATAGGGCGAGAGGCGGGGTACACCCTGGACAGGTCGCCAGTCTGTCGCAGGGCCAACACACAGGGACAGTCAACCATTCGCACTCACATTCACTCGCACTTTCACACCTAGAGGCAATTTGGATTATCCAATTAACCTATCCCCACAAGCTGCATGTCTTTGGACGGTGGGAGGAAGCCGGAGTACCCGGAGGGAACCCACGCAAACACGGGGAGAACATGCAAACTCCACACAGAAAGACCCCGGCCTGATGGTGGAATTGAACTCAGGACCTTCTTGCTGTGCGGCAACAGTGCTAACCACCGTGCCACCATGCTGCCCTGCCCTGCTGTAACCATGAAGACAAATAAACAGGCTTCACTCCAATCCACAGCTTCCTCTTCCTGACGTAGCAAAAGGATCAAATTAAATAATGAAGGGTCCTTTTAAAAAGGAAATAATGAAGCGTCACATGTCATTCAGTTTCAGACAGTTAGTCCTCTTCTTTTGTGTATGTTTCCTTTTTAGCTATTTTAATTGATGCTGGCTTAGCTATAAGCTTTCCTCTTTAGACTGCTTCAAGAGCATTTCAAGAGATAACGGGATTAACCGCTCCATGGTCATTTTCAGTTAAATTGTAATCTGTCTCGTTTTTTTTAATCTCTTCGACAGTTGATTTATTATTTGAAATTTTATAGATGATCTGTGTGTTGGCTGAAGTTTAATGCAAATCTGATTGAGACAGCGGTAGGAGTCAACTCAGGCAGCAATCCCTGGATCAGTTGACTCCTACCTCCATCTTAATCACTGTTACTCCTACCTGTCTAGATGGCTCAAGGCAGATTTTCTCTCACTCTTTCCATCCTGCCAGGAGTCAACTATGTGTACCAGTTCTGTGTTGGAGCAGCAAAAGGCGTCCTCAGTCCATTTGTCCTGCAGGAGTTAATCATGGAGGCCTTGCAAAGGCTGAACCCTGCCCACATCCATGCCCATCTTCGAACACCTGCTTTCCAACAACTTGTCCAGCGCTGCCAGCAAGCCTATCTGCAGGTACATCATATTCACCATAATACAGCGGTCCCTCGTTTATCGCGGGTGTTACGTTCTAAAAATAACCCACGATAAGTGAAATCCGCGAAGTAGCCAACTTTATTTTTTACAATTTACAACAGATGTTTTAAGGCTGTAAAACCCGTCACTACACACTTTATACACTTTTCTTACACAGGCATGAACATTTTCACACTTTTCTCTCTTGTTTAAACTCTAAAAGTTCAAACCTTCGTAGAAAAATAAGTCCAGTATTATAGGATGAAACCAGACACCCCCAGCTGCCGCTGACGGTGCCATATGTTTCATCGACATTGTTGCGTTTGTTGGGGAGAAAACTTACAAACATACAGTACAGCACTTCAGACTCACACTGCTAGCGAAGATTTGTGTAAATTTGACAATCTCGCGATATAGCGAGGGACCACTGTATTCATAATGGGGTTGATGACAAAGAGTAATGCAGGTTGGGCTGCAGGACTGATTCCCACAAGTATCTCATATTTATAGGTAATTAAAATCTAATTCAGTCAAATAAAGTAAAACAAAGTTTTTCAGTAAGGAGAGTAAAAAGTATCAGACAAGGGAAAGCACGATAGAGCTGTTGCAAAAAACCAGGTTCGGCCAATATTTGTCTACATGTGTTCGCAGACCCAAGTGACTGTCGTGGAAATTTTAACGAACAAGTCTGCAGACACGGTTACTATAATCAACACTGTTTATTATCACGCACACAAGAGAGAGTACATCCAGCAAGATGCTGTCATGCAGTCTCTGAGACGGAAGTGGAGCTCCCACTCCTTTATGCGTTCACAAAAAGGGAGGAAGTAACAAACTGATCATACCACCTCACGCGGCTCGCTATGAAACCTAACAAACACTCCACTACAACGAATACGCTGTTTCATGCCCTTGGTATTATCAGCGCCTGCAAAAGAGAGTTGTTTTCTTCAGCTGTTGAGGTTGACATGAGTTGAGCTAGTTCTAGATTGTTGAGTGGAAGTTTCCATTACGCTGCCACAACTGAGCATAAGCACTGCAGCACTTTAAATGAGAAAAAAATAAATTTTCTATTACATGACCGATTGGGAATCTGTTGTGATAACCTGAATCTGATAATACCCTGACTCGATTGCCGATTTTGATTTTCTTTTTACATATTTTCTGTATTTTTTTTCCGGCCACTTCATAGTGACTGACATATCCTCCCAGCAGCTAATTGTCAGATGTTGTGGAGGCTGCACCGAGCAATTATGTAGATTAACAGCTCCAGTTCCAAAAGTTTGTGATGCTGTGTGAAATACCAGTTCAAACAGAACGCAATGACTTGTTAATCTCATAAAGCCATAATTTATTAACAGTAGAGCATCAAAAACATATCAAATGTTTAAACTGAGAAATTCCTCATGTCATCAAATTTAAAATGAACTGGGCAACTAGCTGAAAAGAAAGCTGAAAAGAAACCGCTATATGAACATTTTGAAACTAATTGAGGTTGAATGGCAACAGGTCAGTAACATGTCTCATCTTAAACATTTGAGATGTTCTTTTTGTTCGATTCTCAATAATATATGGGTTTATAAGATTAGAAAATCATTCTTTTTTAAATTTACATTTTTGTTTTTTTGGACTTAGGTTGTAAATCATTTAAGCACATTTGTAAGTTGGTTGAATTTTACAGTGGCCTAGCTTTGTAGAAACACTGTTGTAAACTAGAAAAATTTGCATTTCCTGCGAAAATGCTGTGTGGATGCCTTAACGCTGAAGATGTCTGCTGAAAAAAGCTGAAAAAGTTGAAAAGTTGCAAAAAGTTGTATGGCGGTGAAGAAACTGAAAATTCTGCTGAAAACAGGTGAAGAAGCAGAAATTTTTGATGAAAACAGGTGAAAAGCCAAAAATTCTATTGAAAGGGGTAAAGACGGAGAAATTTTTGCTGAAAAGTGGTTTAAAAAAAAAACGCTGCCCTGAGCAGGATTCGAACCTGGCCCACCTGGGCCCTATTTCAGGAAGCCGGTTTAGAAAACTCAGAGTGAAAAACGATACTCAGGGTTGGGTAACCCCGGACTGTCCAACTCGGAATATTCGGTTTCAGAAAGGCTGATAACAATTAGTTCAGTCAACGCGGAGTTGCTTTAACCCCAAGTTAAGCGCGCGCACGAGGATACATAAAGCCCTGATTAGTGGAGCACAGATTAAGCGAGTCACCATGGAGACGGAGGGAAAGAAGGTGCGGTCAATGTATTTTACAGCGCTTGAGGCCAAAATTCTGATGGCAGCATATGCCGATAACATGCAAATTCCGCGGAAAAAAGCTAACACAGCCTCGCTGCAAAAGAAAGAGAGCATGCATGGCAAAACATAGCCGACAGAGTCAATGCGTGAGTGTTAATTTAAACATTGATCTAGGGATTTCCACCCATTTAACACGTTATTTTATTTTATTTTATTTTATTTTTTTATTTCATACATTTTATTTTGTGATGTGATGTGAGCGCAGGTGCAACCCAACAGGCCCCAAACGTTCCTGGCAGCAAGTAAAAATGAAATATAAAAATATAGTCCAAACAGGTAAGGTGTAATTGTATTATGAGCCATAGTGCTTGGTCTGTTTGTCCCATGTAAATCAATTGCAGTTAGAGGCTACATTAATTTCCCCTCTGTAAGCACTTATTGAAATTAGAAATGCTACAGGGAACTATGTACCTGTACATTAATGCTGTGGAAAGACTTCCTGTTCACATAGTCTCCTTCATTTACTGAAGGAGCAATGATTGGAATGTGAGTGCCATCTATACAGCCAATCAAGCCTGGGAACCGTGAGAATAAATGTAAAATTTAAGTAGTAGTTCAAATATCACCACATCATGAATTAAGTTTCGTTCATCCTGATACCTGCAATTTTGTGGCATCCCTCTTTGATAAATCTTGTGGGTCTATGACCGGGGAACACCACAAACGAGTACACGAGACGTTTCAGTGCAACTGTAACATTCCTGACTGCCCGACAGACAGTAGCCTTGGAAACGTGCTCAGCGTCACCAATATTATACAGAAAGCTCCCGTTTGCAAAAAACCGAAGTGCAATACAAATAATATGTACAGAACTGAGAGAATGTCAGCGATGTGTCACATGAGCAATATTAGGCCTGAGGATGTTATTCAAATGAATTATAGATTGTGCTGAAAAACGGTAACGTTCACACAGGAGATCATCAGGAAATGATAAAATGTCCGAACGCGCTCTGATCACTCTCTCCCGGCGGAGAGCTCTGCGGAGAATTTGGGCTTCAACATCTACAGGCTCTTCAAGGGAGGGGCACGCCATGTCTGACACTTCCTACAGTCAGATTTCTGACAAAGAGGCGGAGAATGTCAGGGTTAGTTGAAGTAAACCTGCTAGGGGGCAGGTTAGCTTCACGGAGTGTGTCGTCATAGTAACTCACTCAGAATTAATCTAAACTCGCTTTGTGAAACCGAAAACCCAGAGTTTTCGTTAACTCAGGGTATACTTACTCAGAGTTTGCACTAAACCGGCTTCCTGAAATAGGGCCCTGGTCTCAAGGCAGCCACTCATCTCACTGCGCCAAACTCATTCTCACACAGAATAGGTGGAGAGACTGACAATTTTGCTGAAATGAGCAGAAGCTGCTGAGAATTGTGCTGATAAGAGGTGAAAAGGCTGAAAATTTTGCAGAAAAGAGGTGAATCAGCAGAATTTCTGCTGAAAAGAGTTTTTTTTCCGAAAAAAGCTGAGATTTGTGCTGAAAAGAAGTGAAAATTCTGAAAATTTTCAGTTTTTTCTGAAAACAGCAGAAAAAACTGAAACTTTTGCTGAAAAGGGTTAAATAAGTTGAATTGGTAACTGAAAGAAATGTTGCCATAAGCGGGATTTGAACCCCGGCCTCCCAGTCTGAGAACGGCTGCTCATCTCACTGAGCTAAAACACAGCTCAGCCCAGCAAGGAAAATCAGTGACGCCATTGATAATATGGCAGAAATGGGCAAAAAAGATTGTATAAAAAATTCAATATCTCAAAAAGTATAGAAGTTATGAGCACCAAAAGTCATAGTAATAATTAGCAGAAAGAGCAGAATTTTTCGAAGTTTGAACGGTGCAAATAGCATGAACACTGAGAGAGTAGTTAAGCAGCAAAAAACGTACGGAAGCAACCAGAATAATAAAGAATAAAGAGAAACAGGAACTCATAAGGGCATCCACACAATTATAGTCTAGCATGTGTTATGTGTGAGTAGCTCCACTTAAATAGGAAGGTTCAGGCTACATTGTCCAGTGTCACCTCCTTTTCTCTCTGCAGCATATTCACCACCGGCTCATCCACCTGACACCTGCTGACTACGATGACTTTGTCAACATGATCCGCAGCGCAAGAGGTGCTTTCTGTCTGACTCCTGTGGGTATGATGCAGTTTAATGATGTGCTGCAGAACCTGAAAAGGGGCAAACAGACCAAGGAACTATGGCAGCGTATATCCCTGGAGATGGCAACCTTCTCTCCGTGAGCAGCACACTCGGGGAGACAAAATCTGCTCAGCGTCAGCCTGGGCCAAGAAGTCCCATCCAGCCTCCAGCATAGCTACTGCCACTGCACTGAGCTGACCACACTTACGTGTGATTTTGTTAGGGCCATTGCTTCCTGCTCCGAGGACTCAGTGAAGCGCACATAGGCAGTGCAATCGACTCCCATTCCCCAATTCACAGACTTACTTTCGTTTTTTGTGTTTGTCCACCAGAGCGTTGTGAAGTAGCCTGGTCACTTACCTGCTCTTCCTGGCTGATCTTTTATCATTGTTTATCGTTATGTAAATGTGGAATTCCGGTGTACTCCTTCCTTTCTTCATTTCTCCTCAACTTAAGACTGACAGGGATCTCTCCTCCTCATCCTCACTTCATTTTCACTGTTTTGTATTCTGTTTTTAGTTTTGTTTTAAAGGAAACCACTGCGTGAGTTATTTTTTATGCTGCAACATTCCTGTGTAGTGTTAGATGCTTCACTCACCAGAGTCTTGTCACCATGGATATGAATCATTACAGTGTGGGACAAAACAATGATTTGTGAGAAGAAGAAAAAAAGTTTAATATGAAGCATTTTATTGTCCCTATTGGTGAGGATTTTTCAGTATTTTGTTTAATCTTTTTTTGATACTTTGTAATAGGCTATGACACGTAAGCAAATAGGAATGGGACGAGAGTGAGGGAATGCTGAAGGTGCTTTTTCTGTTGTGTGGGATACATTTGTACATTTTAGCCTGCCTGAGAAGTGACATGAACAGCTCCAGACCAAAACCAGAGGCCACCTCACCACTGCTTAGGCAAACAATGTCTGCAAGGCCTTCTCGAGCTACACTGTCCAACAGTCAAAACACCTTATCAGTCCCATTTGGGCTAAGTTGTTTGTTTGTTTTAAAATAATTTTCCAATATAGAATCCCCAGATTTCCAGCAGCTGTCAGAACATTTAATAGATCTTTTATATAAATATAAAAATGCTTTAAGGCAAACTAATTTGCTTAATCTAATTTACAATGCTGTCTAAACACAGCTACTAAACAGACTCCTGACTAAAACGCAATAAAAAGAATTTAGAATAGCATGACCATAAATATTAAAATCACGCATCCAGCCCTTCTTCACCGCATCTAAAGCACTGACTAGTTTAAATGCACAGAATACAGCAGTGTGGATGGAGATGGCAGACCTATTGGAAGCAGCATTGTCCATTTGACTGATCCACATCCTTTTTCGTCCAAAGTTTTCCATATTGTAAAAGCCAAACATACCGTGTAAACACTCCTTTATAAGCCTTTCGTTTGTCCAGTGATATGGAGTGCATTTGCCTTGTTCTGATGCACCAAACAAAACTAAAACCACTGTTTGGATGATTGAAGTGTAAAAGAAAAACTTTCTGGCCGCACTCAGAAAAACCCAAATAAGCCACACAAAACTGAAATGTCTGCTTTATTATTCATGTGCCTGTTTTTGAAGGCTAGGAATTTGGTTCAGCAAATGTACATTTTTAGTGCAAACCATACACAGTGGACAAGTCCCAGACATTGCTGTCTCACCTTTCAACCACATTTGTTTTCTCTGCAGATTACACTGACATCTATTATAGTGTAATCAGTACCAGTCACCATATCAGCTTAGCGTTTTAGGTTGTCCAAGGTCCTGAATTATATGCTGCTCATGCTTTGTATACACTGTCACACATGTACAGTGTAGCTAATCATCTAAAACCCAAATGTTCTGAGACTATTACTTTGGTACCACGTTCTCTTAATTAGACATGGCTTTGGCTTTGCTCTGGAAAGTGCTATCTTCTTTGTTTTCAGTTTTCTGGTCCACTTAAGCCCCAACACTCTTCAAGACAGTTACCAGACACATATGACACAGTGTGTTTGAGTGGCCCTCTTCTTCGATGTGGTTAGCTCATAGCCCATGGTGCTGTTACTTCTAGACATGTTGACACAGTCCAGGCAGCTGCTGTGGTTCTGAAACTGGCTCATTGGTTCTGGACCTCACAGGTGAAGGTGACGTAGTAGAAAATGTACTGTGATATTTTTGTATTTCTCAAAAGTGTAGTTTGATTGAAAAGTTGTATATGTGCTGATTGCAAAAGGTTCTAATTGAGAGTGCAAAGACAAAAAATAAAAGCAATAGTAAAAGTGTAGAGTTTACTTTAATAAAGATCATTGAAAACACTAAATTGCTTTGACTGATTTGTGGGTTTGAGTAGGGATTTATTTGTTTTGGCCAAACCAACGTGTTTCTGTGCAATATCTCACCCATGGCCACAAGAGTTAGCAGTTATCAACTGATAAATTAGTAAGACTCAGATTGTTCAATCCTTTTCCTGACAATACCCACTGTCATATATACTATACAGCAGTCCCTCGTTTACGTTACGTTCTAAAAATAACCCGCGATAGGTGAAATCAGCAAAGTAGCCAACTTTATTTATCTAAAATTATTATTATAGATGTTTTAGGGCTGTAAAACCCATCACTACACACTTGTTACGTGTCTGCAGGCTGCATGTTTTCTTTCCCTCCCCTTTTGTTTGCCATTCCCTTAGGTCGCAGACTGCAGGCTGATGTCAATCTGGGGACATCCAATTAATTAGAAGAGGCCCTGATTGGACAAACCAGGAGTGAAGCCCTTGATAAGGAGACTCACCTGTGGTGGGCGCGGCTCTCTTCCCTCCTTGAATTGTTTGACACATGTGTGACGGTTTCCTGCTGTCTTTCTTTTGTTTGATGATTGTGGTGGGAGTAAAGTGGATTAGGTGAGTTTGGGGACCCCATACACTTACTCACGTAGAGTCTTTGTGTTAGAAACACTAGGTAAGTAGGTTGGTGCCACCCATGTAATTTTGAGCTTGTTTTAAGTTGAGGTTTGGGTCTATCTCTCCTGTTTGTTGCTTTTCTAGGATAGTAGCTCAGCTCAGCTCAGCTAAGTTTTGGTTTTGTCTTTTTTGTGTTTTGTTTTGTTTTTTTTGGCACAACCTAACTGTCCCTTTTCCCCCCACATTTGTTGTTTGAGTCTGGGTTGTTTATTTTGTGAGAGCGCTGCCATTAAACCTTTTTTCATAACACCTGTACTGAGTTTCCGGAGTTGTTGTGTTATCCCCTCCTGCCCTCGGGGAGACGTAACACACTTTATACACTTTTCTCAGACAGAAATGAACATTTTCACTTTTCTCTCTTGTTGGGGAGAAAACTTACAAACATACAGTACAACACTTCAGAGTCACACTGCTAGTGAAGATTTGTGTAAATTTGACAAGCTGAACGCATTCTGTACTGTACAGGAGACACAGCACGAGATTGGCTGTAAACCATTGTCAGTAAATCAGGACCCAGAACACAAAGCATTGTTTTAAAAAAAAATTTGCACAAAAAAATTCTGCGAAACGGCGAGGCCACGAAAGCTGAAACGCGATGTAGTGAGGGACCACTGTATTGCCAAAATTCCCACAGAAATCCAAATCATCAAATTCAAGTGTTCCAATTGCTTCCATGACCACAGGTGTGTAAAATCAAACACCTAGGTATGCAGACTGCTTTATTTGTGAGAGAATGGCTCACTCTCAGGAGCTCAGTGAATGCCACCTGTGGAATAAGTTCAGTCGTGAAATTTCCGAGAAGCTTCTTTAGTTTGTAGAGGTAAGGCGAAGGCCCGGCCAAACAAACCTGGCGCTGACCAGCTTGACCGAGGCCCGGACGCC